CTGACACTTTTATATATATCTTAAATTAAAGCTTATGTAATATACTTTAATATTAAAAAAAAAAATTTCGGACTTTATTTTGTCTTCACGGTAAAAATCTCTACCATATGCTATTTTTGTGTTAAAATCCTCGATTTTATATTTTACATTTTTAACTTTAAAATAATATAACTTTTTGAAAAATGTATGGATCAATAAAATTTTTTTATAAGAAATAATATTTATATACTTCTTTCATTCGACATACTTTTTTTTTAAATCGGACCTTAATACAAGGGGGATTTAAAACATAAAAATGCATATAGAAAGTAGAACTTTTTCAACTTAATCTTTGAAAGTGTTCCGGAAATACTGATACTTTTATATATATCTTAAATTAAAGCTTATGTAATATACATTAATATTAAAAAAAAAAATTCGGGCTTTATTTTGTCTTCATCGTGAAAATAGTTACCGTATTTAAAAATATGCTATTTTTGTGTTAAAATTTTTGGTTTTGTCTTTTATTTTATTATAGGAGGATTAAACTGATTTTCATAAATATTATATCAATCTAATTAACATAGTATAAAAAGTTCAACATATTTAAACTTTTATGTTTCTTTGAAGTCGAGATAATTTTAAAAGTTGAACTAGCTAAATTTCTATTTTTATTAAGTGACGAATGCGACGTACGGTTTTTGAGACGGTAACACTTGAGTCTTTCACGCCTGTGGCACTGAATTTTTTCTAAAATCTTTTTGAGTTAGAAAAAAATGTTTAATTCATTTGATTTTTATCTTATTTAGATTCAATAACTTCAATAAATAACAAGGATCCCATTACTGTAGTCTCCTCTCGTGAGAAGAAATTCATATTAATATTATTTTACTATGTGGTTTTTTTTGTAACTATCATTTATTTTCTTAGCTCCCACTTGCACTACTTTTTTGATAATTTTTTTTTTTTTAATTAAACACTATCTACAGATTTGCATTGAAGCGTTTTTTATGATAGTGATTTTAATCACTGTCAGATATCATCTATACTGGACCCAACTA